GATCTACCACCGTCCTGGGAGCAAACTAGTCGCATGGTGGCAAGTCTCCCTCTGCTTCACAAGGGCGGCGGCTACCTATACCTATACCTATACCAGTCTGTGATAGGGGTGATAACTCCCAAGAGTCGCACCGAAACTACGTCCAAATACGGTTTTTACTGATGATGGACCTAATGAAACAAATCTTTCCAAGCTACTGCTGGGACATCACAATATGTGAAGATCGTATAAGCATCATTGTGGGTGTATAAGTGGAAACGGATGACACAAATACAAACAGGGCTAAGATTACTATACAATAATGAAGTTATTAATTAGAGAACTCTAGTTGTACACCCATACTGTAATAAACAAAGAGCATCAAACCTTCACGATACAACAAAGATTTAAGTATATTGGTTTAAGAAGCATCCAGTTCTAGTTATATCACACATTAACGGATATGGGCTAAAATCTCTCTTGTGGTGCCTAAAAGGAGGTAATCACATTGAATTTAAATTGTACTTGAGTACAAATCTAACACAAAGTTGTTGCAAAAAATTACCCGGTCTAAATCGAAACATGAAAATTAAAAAACAAACAACACCAGAACTAACCAAAATTCCAATGAAAATACAAATGGGAAAAGCTAGAATAACGATAAGAAATGTAGACAGGCACGTCTGTCCAAACTCTGTTAACGAATCTACGACAAAGAGAGAGAGAGAGAGAGGGGGGAGGGGGGAGGGGGGAGAGACATAAATATGTGAGATCAGAGAGTTCATCGGTTGAACTGGATACCATAGCACTTGAGAAGAGATCGATCTTTGCAGGATTTTTCATGCGAACCGATGTCGACTTCGTCAAGAACGTGTGCCGGGTTATATCGACACATAACCACAGAATCACGTCTTTGCTCAATGCTTTCGTCCTGAACAATCTTACTTCGAAACACAGACGCACATTACAGCCGTTGATAATCAATGAGTCTGGATTACAGATGAAATGGAAACGCATACCGTTTCCGAATCCTTCAGAAGCCATCGCGATTCTTTTGACTTCGTCTGCAACAGCAAACATCTGTGCCCCTGACATTCACTGACACGTTCCTGGAAGCAGCAGTTCTTCAGCGCCCACAAATTTCCGAAAAGAAGTTTGCAGAAAATGAAGGGATCACGTTCACTTCGTATGCATAAAACACTGGGGAGTTTACCAACGAATGACATAAGCCAACCTATTTTCACAAAAATTTAAGGAAATTATCTATTGTGGTGGCACAATTCGGCCACGGACTGCAAAAAACTTCCGACTGCCGAGAACTTGAACAGGTTTCGTATGAGTGAATAGACAGAACTGCAATGATTTCTCAAGGACGTTCACGACGCTGGTCAAACAACGAAGTGCTGGGAAACGGAAATACATCGCACTGTTTGTGGTTAAGAAAAATTTACCTCGTTAACAGGAAGTGAAGGCCTGCTGTTCCGTCGGTCTTCCACCTTTTGTATCCAGCGATCCTCATCCATGGAATCATTCTGACGACAGTGGAACTGTTCATGAAAATCGTCAAAGCACTGCCGGTTTGCGGAATAGGCGCAAGTGTAGTCCTCGCTCGCGCGCCTATACGAAGATTCTTCATTTGAATCTCCGTACGACATGCACTGCGTTTGATCGTCTTCTCGGTGGTTTAAAACGTCCTTACTGACCATATTACCGCTCACGGACCTAAAATCTTAATCACTAAATGAATGTGAATATTTATGTAACACAAGGGAGCTCATTTTGCAGCGGGACGATTCACGAAACTGAACAATAACTGTACGACCAACGACCACATTAGAACGAAAACGAACAAATGAGTTAAATCCCACAATTAAACAGAAATTATCGGTATTGAAGTCATTGCCAAAACAACACTTCCACTTCACGAAAAAGGACATTCCGTTATACGGCGGTAATTATAATAAAAAGATAAAGCTCTCGCCGTTGATCAATCCCTGAGGCATGCGCCATGCAAGCGACTTCATTAAGCATCGTTCGGAGGTGATTGAATGCACATCTGGCTTTTACAATGACTCACGGTGGGCTACCGATGTATCGAGCCAGTGCTGCTATCCTCCCAGACAAGTCTGGTACCAATTTCGGGACCCCGGAGGAAAAGAAGGCTTGGTGGACCATGGGCACGTGGATCGATTTCACGCGTGTGTTGCAGTGCGCCTCCGAACACTGCGCTAGACGCGCAGTCGGCAACTATAATGACTGTAATGGCGACTTTATTAGGGCCCAGTCAAGTTCCCTCAGCATTACAAGATTAAAAATTACATAGATAAACTTATATTCCAATAAAAAGCTTGAAAACGAAGGGAGCGGAGTGTGAATTCAATTCAAAGAAGGCAGGCGTTAAGTAAAAACATAAACGCACCTGAAGAAAACCTATTCCGCACCGACATTTTCCAGCTTACACGAACTGGTCACGTAGTGATAAGAAGGCAAAACGAGAACACACGAACGAAACGACATTTGACTCGAACTCAGATAATGCAGAAAATGGAAGCAAGAAAAACACGAAAAAACCCGAAAAACCCTATCTAAAACCTTACCAAACTTCTGAGTCCATAACTGTAAAACACAATAAAATTCATATTTCGCGAAAATGTGAGGTAGTGAAACGGTTCTGGCTAATAAGCGCTACTACAAGAGTGGCAAAACGGCTTCAAGAAACGAGCAGCGCTCGAGACAGGATTTATTAAAGGGCGAACGATGTGAACTGGAGCACGTTATTTTTCCTTGATTCCCATTTTCGTTTTGGTGGGGATAGGTGTTAGCTTAACTGCAAATGTGTGGGATCGTCTGTTATTTTAATGAACTAGTGACACATTAGACAGCACGTAAGTTTTAGCCATCGTTTTTTTATCACTTGCGGATGTGTTATGTGTTATTATAGAACGCAGATTTCATTTCCGTTTTATTTCAACGTTTTTATCGTAGTGATGATGAGCAAAATGAGTTCCCTTGTGTTAAATAAGTATTCACGTCCATTTATTGCTTAAGTTTTTAGGTGCCGGTGATATGGTCAGTAAGGACGTTTTAAACCGTCGAGGAGACGACCAAACACGGTTCATGACGTACGGAGATTCAAGTGAAGAATCTTCTCCATCTAGCAGCGCGAGCACGGACTACACTTGCGCCTACTCCAGAAACCGACAGTAATTTGACGATGTTCGTGAGTAGCTCCATTGTCGTCAGGATGATTCCATGGATGAGGATCGATGGAAGCAAAGGGTGGAAGGTCGACGGAACAGCAGATTTCCATTTCCTGTTGATACTAGTAGTAAGTGGCAAGACGTACGAATAGTTTTCTGGTATTTTTTCCTAGATCATATACTGTGCTTAGTCTGATGCAATTTTAACCTGTAAGGATGCTTACTGGAGTGTTGCATTTTAACACATAAAAACCTTTAAAACTCGTGATCTTTTTTGGAGTCAAGACACTACTCTGCAGGCGTCCTGATGGAGAAACTTGCTTAAGCATAACTGATGACTATCTCTATCTGCATCGTAGCCCAAATGCTTGTGGTTTAGTACTTTTATTCCTTAGACGCCGGATGTTCTAAATCGTGGTGACGATGGCTGTCTTTATTCACGGCTGGAAAGTGTTGAGAAACTGTTGCCGACACAAATGTAGATGATTGGGTTCAACTAGTCCAATCTCATCTCCACAAAGTAGAAATTGCCATGATTCGTGGTACCATGAGCTGGCAATCTAGAAATATACCAACTTTTCTAAAACGCCAATTAGCAAATGAACATGTCTCACCTGATACAGACATTTAGCAGTGGGAATGATGAGGCTAAAGTCTACAGGAGTTCTTTTCCAGTAGTACTGGTAGGTCTTCCTATCAGCGACGATGAAACTAAGATTTTCTCGCACTTACAAAGTATCTTTTCTTTTTCTGTTATGGCTTGTACTTTAAGAGACCATTTGATTTAACAACTTGCACTCCGTTCAGCAGAACACAGTTCGACCAAAGAGAGATAGAGAACTTTGATTGGCATAGAACATACGACCACGTGTGTTGCAAGTGACCTCTAACCATTGCACTGCAAGAGCCTCATACTACCAGTAAATCATTCTCTCAAACAGTGACTCACGTTTTTCACAATGCTTCTAAAAGTCATGGTTAGCAGTAACTTTTTAGAATATCAGAGATTTTAAATTATACAAAATCAAGAAGATTTCTTGAAATAAATCTAGCGTCCTGTAGCCTGCTATTCCACTTTAAGATGAAAAGTAAGACTGAACCTTTTGGTGCTATTATGTATATACCAACTTGTTTCAGCATACCGATTTCACGAGTCAGTCAACGCACAGACCACGGTTGTTGTGATAGATAGAACGTTAATTTCGGAAGTGGTAATTGGGAAAGGGTTCGAAGTCCACCTGTGGTTCGAAGTTTGCTCATACCTCAGCATCACTGCGACTATACTTCACAATGAGAAAATAAGAGATAGAGAATGGAAGCTAGAGCATTGTGACTACGAGTCACCGTTTTTATCCTCATCATTAAAGGTGAACTTGAAAACGATTGAGGCAAACAGTTCTGTAGGTTAGGTGCTAATTTTTTCTAAGATTTTTTTGGCGTACTTGCCGCGCTATTCCAATAAAGATACCAACGGTCTACCGCCTCATTGTATCTAGGATGTGTTCCTGGGAGTCCAGTTGTGATGTATGAGTGAAGGAGGGTTCATCCCCTCTACAGTGCCTCTCGTTCTGCACGGTATGACGTTTCGATTTGGCGGCTCTGTTAAAAGTAAACCAATACCAGGAATCACCAATATCCTCCTACCAAACTAGTAGCGTAAAGGCAAAGCTCCCTCTTGTCGACAACGGCGGCGAGGATCTGGCGAAAACTTCGGTAAGGCTGATTTCGAGACACCGAGAAACCACAATGGCTAAACCAGCAAATGTAAATTTCCATGGGCCCCGCACAATCACTGAAGATGTTCCAACCAAGTATACAAGTAAGTAAGTATTCAGCCCAAGAGAGATTTTGATTGCACTTTTTTCTCTTCATGATTACATGTTATACCATTCTTGCTGAAATATAGCATCGTGGACTTTTAATTAAAGCTCTTCAAAGGTTGCCTCCCGTTGAAAATGCCTCTCAATTATTTAAAGTCAGTCGTTCAAGCGATTCACTGCGCATTTCGTAGAACGGATGGGCTCCATGATTTGAATGCATCTGCATCTTTTCAGGGAGGTAGCAGTCGGATTTAGTTTCTGCATAACACCTGCAGCTGTTCTGAATCAAACCAGTAGCCTCTCTACGCTCCGTATCTGCTATGTGAGGCCGGATCAATGGGAGCAAACAGTCGACAATAATGGCCAGTGTAAAGTATTTCATTTCACTGGGGAATGGAGAGGGGATAACCTATTCCACAGTGTCAAACTACGAGTACCGGCTTGAAAATTCTCTTCAGAAGCACCAAGCCCCAATGATCACGATTGCACATCTTTCCGGTAGCCGCAGTAACTTAGTCGTAAGGTGACGAGGTTCCCTCAAATCGATAAATACCGGCGAGTGGTGGCTGTGGAACGACTGTCTCGGGTCTTCAAGGTGCAAAATTTTGCCTTCCACCCGATAAGTGTACCTTAATTCGAGCGAGGCTCCAACGAATTCGATTCCATGAGACAACGAAGACCAAACATCGTGAGTGCGAATGACGGCGGACGAACGACTCGAATTAATCTACCTGTGGGGAAGTCGAAGAAGTGGAAATATTGTCGGAATTAATCTCTCTTACCATCGTTGAGGCACAGTGGTCGGAGACGCCCTGCAACACACACGTGGGATCGATTCCCGCGCCTATCGCCCACCAAGTCTTCCATCTCTTTGGGGTCGGCAAATTGGTACCAGACTTGTCTGGGAGGATAGCCGCAGTGGTTCGATACATCGGTAGGCCACCATGAGCCATTGTAAAGGCCAGATATGCATTCAGTCACCTCCAAACGATGCTTAATGAAGTCGAATGCATGGTGCATCCCTCTGGTGATCAACGCCGAGAGCTTTGAGAGCTTTTACCATCATTGTGCCAGCCTCATAATCAAAAAAAGGGACCTACGAAATCTTACTCGTTGACCGTTCAGTGTGAAAAAGATGAATTGCATTTTCACCTATCATCTACACGTGCACACAAAACGGCAGATGGGTGACTGCTGATGGTAGACATCGATAGAACTAGCTGAGAGACAGGCGAAACGAAGGAACCCCACGGTGTGGTGGTGAACGCGTTAACCCCCAGAAGGGGTAATGGCGTATTCGTTTCCCATCGCAGACACCTGCGGTTCGGAGTTTTGTAATTATCTCAGCATCATAGAAGAACGATACTGTTCGGATTATAAAAAGATTACAAGTGACCCAGCGTAGTAGATGTTGCAGGCAAAAACTGTCTATTATAAGTAGGAGTTAGGTATTATATAATGTTACAATAAGGATTATGAAGAACAATTTGATTATTGTGGAACGTACTAGTTGTTGGACATATGCATAATGGACAATTTCTATGCAAAAGGGGTAAATTGTTGACGAGGTCTCCTCGGTGTGCCACCCCTTCGTCACGATGAAGCGTTGCTAACTTGTAATCTTTACTGTGTAGGTACCAAAAGATCCGTCGTGGAATTCGAGCCGATATAGCGTAGTTGACTTTT